CGAATGGAAATTAAGAAAATCTCGTGGATTACTCCTCTCGGGATCAATCTCCGCATTCAGCCTCCCGAGAGTTAAACACATTTCAGGTGGTTAGCTGTTGTAATACATATTCACATTACAACATTGAAACACATGTGCCCGAAAAACATTCATGACACTATCACATAGGAATAAAGCAATGTGACAGTGCCCTACGAGAATGAAGAAATGTCCGCCTAGGAGTACTACAAAGTGATGAAGACACACACTTGAGCAAAAAGACAGATCTCTATCATAAAATATAGATGTGAACCTAATTTCGATCTTACCTGGAAAAATGAAATCACGATGCCAAAAGTTCTGTCTCAAGCTTAGGTTAAGCCCAACAGATGGCATGTGCTAGACAGGATCTCATTTACCAGACCTAGCGTTCACCACTTTATAACTTTTATCAAGCTCCTCCTACGTTACGCCTAAAATCCTTTTCATTCACGGGTATCACAGCTCCTCCCCTGTAGGTAAGTTTATTCGCTGTCAGTCAGGGCTGTACAACACTTATTTAAATTCCCACGCTAGGATCTCCTGGTTCAATTAAGCTGGTCAAAGCTAATAGGCCAAGTCACACCTCTGGCTACTTCACCTGCCATCACAATAAAATCATACGGTGTCAATTCTTCTGTTAACACTTTCTGCTCACCATGTCAATAGTGACCGTCGGACCGGCACTCCAGTTTAGGTAACCTCAGGGGGAATTAAACACAATTAGCCGGAGTTATCTGCCCCTAATGGTCTGGCAGGGGGAATAAATATCTGACACCGACAGATGGTGTGCAAATCTGCAGACAGTAAGTCTGGGCTGGGCAGAATCACAGGCGTCACAAAGACTACCTTAACACTTAACATCTGGGAAAAAGTTTTAGTGTTTGATATGACCAACAGTCCAGGAGAAGTAAGTGTTTGATGTGGTCGTCTTACTTAGATTAAGGATGTATCCAAAACCATTTATTTCGGTATACTTCGAAACACAAAGGAATAAAAGTAGGTTAAGGAAAGACATTCTGAAGTCACCGCGCGTATTGTCACAGCCACCATAGCCAGAAATAAAAGATACAGCCATCATAACAACTGCTAGCGAAAAGACAGGACTAAAACTAACACAAACATCAAAGTTATGAACAAAGAAGACATAAACAATAAACTGCACAATTTATTGCATCCCGCCAGGTGCTTATTATTGTAAGAAATGTAATAAATGAAACACACTATCTGAAATATGAAATTAGTTACACACAAACGTTAACTGCCTGTTTTACCAGGGCAAATTCAGACTGACAACCCTACACAAGCCAATTATTGTGGTTGCTTCAACGAAACTAACAAATCTAAGGACTCGAATACGTATATTTATTTATATATTTATTTATTTATTGCTTAACATATTCTGTTGTATCTCGTCAGGTGTCAAATACAGTTATATCAACACATGAATAAAAGAACTATAATCTTTTTCACTGAAATACACAAATCACGTTGTCTTCTCCAGACACAGTTTACGTCCTCCGACAAGAAGATGACCGTTTTGACATTTTATATTTAGCACTGCTCTTTTTGTTTGCACAACGCGAGATGTTTTTTGTTTCTACATTTATCCCCATTGTTTAAATTTCCTACCGGAAAAACGTTGTTATGAAAATCCTTATATTCTTACAGGGCGTGAGCTGGACCCCGTCAAAGATGATATGGCGACTAGGCAAAGAAATCAACAACACAGAGTCTATATACTACTGGGCTTACAAGAACAAGATCCCCGTGTTTTCTCCAGCTATAACTGACGGCGCTTTGGGGGACGTGATGTACTACCACAGACATGGCCGCCATGGCGATTCTGTCCGGCTGGATATCGTAGAGGATCTTCAGCTGATCAATGACATGGCCGTCTTTTCTATCAACACCGGTAGGTCTCTTTGCGTTTTCCTGTTCGTCTGGCACGGCTTGTGTAGATGGAATGTTGCTCTTCTCGCAGCAGTTATGATGGATTATCTGCCTAGCTGTCTGCCTGCCTGCCTTTCATTTGTCTATCTATCTATTCATTCATTATTATTTTTTTTAAATTTCACAGTGTCTTTAATGACTCCTTTGATATTTTTTATCAGATATCTTGTTCTTTGCTAAACGTATGTACGTCTGTCTTCCTTTCTGTAATACATTTCTTGTCATATTTGCTAGTTTCTTTCCTTCGTATTGTCTTTCTTTCATGGTCTCTCTTTGTTTCCTTTCCATTTGTCTGTCTGCATTGTGTAATCAGGCTTGTGCCGAAAATGTTACAGATTTTGAATATTTAGGTTCAGTATTGAAGAACAGTGGCGACTGCACACAGGAGGTCAGAAAGACTCACTTAACAATGCAGAGACTAAACAGCATGAAGAACAGTGGCGACTGCACAAAGGTGGTCAGAAAGACTCACTTAACAATGCAGAGACTAAACAGCATGAAGAACAGTGGCGACTGCACAAAGAAGGTCAGAAAGACTCACTTAACAATGCAGAGACTAAACAGCATGAAGAACAGTGGTGAGTGCACAAAGGAGGTCAGAAAGACTCACTTAACAATGCAGAGACTAAACAGCATGAAGAACAGTGGTGAGTGCACACAGGAGGTCAGAAAGACTCACGAAACAACGCAGAGACTAAACAGCATGAAGAACCCTGCAAACCAGTCAAAGTTAAAATGTTCAGATCGTGCATCGTTTCCATAACAACTTATAGATTTGAGTCATAGACCCTGAGACTGAGTCTCTTGAAATCTGAGCTCTTGAACTGAACAATTCTTAGAATACCGTGGATCCCGAACAAGAAAAACATCGACATACTACATAGTCTCAGCGTCGAGTGGAACAGGCTCATATACAGCATCCTGTCACGAAAGCTGATGTATTTGGGTCATGCTAAACGTCATATTGCTCGGGAGAGATCAGCGACGAGGGCCGTCATTTCTGGAAAACGAAAACTCCGCAAAGGTGGTTATAGTACACTGAAGATGCATTAGCTATGAAAGCAGATACAGCTGGAGGATTTTATTAGTAACTGGCACACAACTAGCGAACTAGACAGAAAAAGATAGCTGTGTTCAGGGTCTCCTCGACCTTGCGATCGAGTTTCGCTCCGTTCATACACTCACACCACTTGTAATATATGCCTCATCCAACATACCAAACACTCACACCACACCTACTATATGCCACATCCAACATACCAAACACTCACACCACACCTACTATATGACACATGCAACATACGAAACACTCACACCACACGTACTATATGCCTCACCCAACATACCAAACACTCACACCACACCTACTATATGCCTCATCCAACATACCAAACACTCACACCACACGTACTATATGCCTCAACCAACATACCAAACACTCACACCACACCTACTATATGCCTCATCCAACATACCAAACACTCACACCACACCTACTATATGCCACATCCAACATACCAAACACTCACACCACACCTACTATATGCCTCATCCAACATACCAAACACTCACACCACACCTACTATATGCCTCATCCAACATACAACAAAAACACTCACACCACACCTACTATATGCCACATCCAACATACCAAACACTCACACCACACCTACTATATGCCTCATCCAACATACCAAACACTGACACCACACCTACTATATGCCTCATCCAACATACCAAACACTCACACCACACCTACTATATGCCTCATCCAACATACCAAACACTCACACCACACCTACTATATGCCACATCCAACATACCAAACACTCACACCACACCTACTATATGCCACATCCAACATACCAAACACTCACACCACACCTACTATATGCCTCATCCAACATACTAAACACTCACACCACACCTACTATATGCCACATCCAACATACCAAACACTCACACCACACCTACTATATGCCTCATCCAACATACCAAACACTGACACCACACCTACTATATGCCTCATCCAACATACCAAATCCAACATACCAAACACTCACACCACACCTACTATATGCCTCATCCAACATACCAAACACTCACACCACACCTACTATATGCCTCATCCAACATACCAAACACTCACACCACACCTACTATATGCCACATCCAACATACCAAACACTCACACCACACCTACTATATGACACATGCAACATACGAAACACTCACACCACACGTACTATATGCCTCATCCAACATACCAAACACTCACACCACACCTACTATATGCCTCATCCAACATACCAAACACTCACACCACACCTACTATATGCCTCATCCAACATACCAAACACTCACACTACACCTACTATATGCCACATCCAACATACCAAACACTCACACCACACCTACTATATGCCTCAACCAACATACGAAACACTCACACCACACCTACTATATGCCTCATCCAACATACCAAACACTCACACCACACCTACTATATGCCACATCCAACATACCAAACACTCACACCACACCTACTATATGACACATGCAACATACGAAACACTCACACCACACGTACTATATGCCACATGAGTCATAAACCCTTTCTCTGTCATTGGAATCGCCGTCACTAAACAATATATCTCAGTTATAACCCCGAGGGTTAGAGAAGTTTTCTTTTTTCTGAAAAAATTATTACTACCGCTAATACCTATAATTATTGTACATAATATGAAATGTACATAATATACACTCCATAGCATGAGTTCCGGTAATTTTTTTTTAACTCTGCCAATGTAGTTATTTCTCTTTATTTACAAAATTTGTGTGTGTGTGTTGTCGTAAGTGTGGATAGTCAAAAGTCGTATAGATCGTAAGTCGAGGGGAAGGTTTGTACCCCAATTAATAAATTTTTCTTCTTCTTCTTCTTCTTCTTCTTCTTCTTCTTCTTCTTCTTCTGCCTTTATTACTCCTACTGGAGCATAGGACCTCAACGAACTTACGCGAAGTCTTTTTATCATTCGCTATCATATGCTGCTCTACCTGTCTTTCCCACATATTCAACTTCGCTCTCTCCCTTCTTCGTGTTTAAAAAAAAAAAAAAATCTTCCTTTGTTCCTATATTCCTGTGGGTTCCAGTGGAGAGAAATTCTAGTTATTTTATTCTCTTGTTTTCTCAGCGTGTGTCTTATCCAACGCCAGCGTCTTTTCTTCACCTCTTGGTCCACCGGAATTTGCTTAGTTCTCTCCCAAAGCTCTACATTAGTTATTCTATCATCATCAACATAAAGAGCCCTGTCAACTGGCGTAGGCGCCCATGCGCCTCCACAAATTGCGATCTTTGGTTGACTAGAACAGCTGTCTTGATTATATCCCCCCCCCCCCCCCATTTTTTTAATCAGTTATTTTATCATAGCATTTAATTTCCTCTATCCTGCGCAGGCACCAGTTGATGAATGTTTGTAGTTTATTTTTAAATGCCTTAACTGTTCTCCATGATTTCGCTCCGAACAACAGTAGTAATATCTTAGTCTTAGTCGAGTTTCCAACTTCACCGCAATCGGGTTTCCCCATATTTGTTCCGTTTCTGTGCCAGTGCAGATCAAATGAAACGCCATAGACTGTCGCATAGAAAAAACAACAACTGGTAAACAGACAATTAGTCACGGAGCAATCCAGAAATATTCGCACGCAGTAAATGCGTATTTCAGTTTTTAGGGAGGCCAAAGCCAACGAACGCCACCAGAAATGGCTGACTGACTGACTTTCTACCCCACCAGGACATCACACAAGCGATAAACACCCGATGACACAATGTGCCACCATGTGAATGAGGATCACCGTCTAGAAGTCCCAGAAACCGCGTTCAGCCTTTATGCCACATGTATGGCCAGGCTATATTGCGGCCCCCGGCAAAGCCAGATTAGGGCTTCAAATAATGAAAAATTTCGTCCTAAAAAGGACGAAAAGTATAATAAATATAGAATAACCAGAAATGCATTTGTCGTTGATGGAAGTAATCGGGCATGATAAGCTGGTTACCGTACACACGTTTTGATTTGACATACGAATTAAATTATAACATTACTCAGACGGATTAAACATGATATGGTTGTTTGAATTACTACTACTACTCTAGCTTGTACTCTCCTGTCTTCCCAACCATCCTCCCAGGAGTGCTGATCCTTGGCGCTGGATTGGTCAAGCATCATATACTGAACGCCAACTG